CCTCTGACACATGGCTTTATATAATGACATGTACCTCTTTAAGGTTTTATTTTATTTTATTTTATTTTTATATTGCCTGGGAGATGTTTTCCTAATATAGTAGTTAAGGAAGTACATTCCTGTGCAGTCCACAATATTTCTATGTAAGTGCAGGAATGCAGCTTATCTTCCACTTGAAACATTTTACGAAATACATTTTTTCTTTTTTTTTTTGCGGTACGCGGGCCTCTCACTGTTGTGGCCTCTCCCGTTGTGGAGCACAGGCTCCGGACGCACAGGCTCAGCGGCCATGGCTCACGGGCCCAGCCGCTCCGCGGCATGTGGGATCTTCCTGGACCGGGGCACGAACCCGTGTCCCCTGCATCGGCAGGCGGACTCTCAACCACTGTGCCACCAGGGAAGCCCCCCCCCCCCAATACATTTTTAAAATCCCAGAACTCCTAGATATTTTATGTCTGCTATCTTTCTTTGTACCAAAAGTTCTTTTTCTTTCATTTCTTCCTGAGACTTGATCCATGGTATAGAGCTATGATCTTGAATCCTGCAGTGTTCTCTTTCAAGGGTTTTGCTGAAACGTGATGTTTTTCTTACTTTCATCCCAGTTCTGAAGTGAGTGCATGGTGGATCCCTGGCAAAGATCTTTCTACCCATATAATAATAGCTTATCATGACAATTCTAGGAGAGGATAATCTATTAGTCAATTGTGGACTCTTGCTGTAATTGGATATAAATAAAGGGTTTCATAGAGCTGGTCAGATCCCAGGCTCACAAATTAGTGCAGGTAGGAAAGGAAGATGAGCTAGGAACCTCACTAGCTGTTGGAGATGGGAGGGCCATTGGACTCTATCTGACATTCCAGACTGTTCCTGCTGTCGCTGCTCACATAAGACTCTGTGTCCTAGAAAGCGAAGCACAGAATGGATTGTGTGACAGCAGCCAAGAATTTTTTTATATGCCTTTACGGAGTGACTGAGTAAGCGTGGTTTACTGTTCTTGGCACAAAGACTTAGCAGGTGCAAATAGATGAAACTGGAGAATTTGTCCTGAGAATGACAGAGGGGACTGGCAGTGCTTGGCACAGACAGACTTAGAAGGCTAGTGGTTCTGCTGTGCCTGGCCGTTTGTCTTGATGGCTCTCCTTGGAGCAGCTAAAATGACACGAGTGCTCCCTAGAACTGGTGTGAAGGAAGTCTATGCTCTCTCCTGCCTCCTTCAGGTTTATGGAGGGACTACCCATTCCTTCATTTTAAAGTTTCAACTGCTCGATTCATGTATCTCTCATCTTGAAGCATTTCCCACTGGTTTGACAAGGCACAGGGGTTAATTAAAGCTGCAGAAAGAGGTAGGCTTTTAGGCTGTTCCTCACAGCTGGGCTGGGAGGCCGCAGTCTGGCCAGTTTGAGCACAGACTTGGAGAGCCTCCCAACTGGAATGGAATCAAAGACTTCTGTGGCCTCAGGTTTGTTTACTTTTGGTATTATCCAGGGTTTTCTGGCCCTCTGGTTGTTTGAGAGACAAGAGGCTCTGAATGGCTCTGACCCAGAGTCAGTTTTAGCACTGGGAGGAATTACATGCAAGGGAGATGAGCAACATACTGTTTGTTTACCCTGAAACACACAGGGGGTGAGTGCTGGGCCAGCTGTCTGAGACATCCCCTGAAACCCCCAGTGCAGCTGGATTTTCCCCTCCCTTGTGCCAAGCAGGCCTATCATTACTAGATCATACTGCTCTGGGCCATGTGACAAGCATACTATGAGGCAAATAATACAGTAAAGAAGAATGATGTAAAAGGAGCTGCATTTTCCTTTCTTTCGTTCTCTTTGCAGAAAGCCTGCAATGTTATGCTAAAATCTGCCTATTGATTTGGGTATAAATAGACCCCTTTTTCTAATCCAGATGCAGCCATGTGCCCCTCTGTATAGGGTTGGAGATTCTCTGTTGTGTCTTGGGAGTAATAAGAAGATTCCACTGGAAAGAATGCAGGCAAATCAGCCCAGCTGAGATTACATAATAGGAGAAGGAAAATTGGAGAAAGTATGTAATAAACCTCAATATCTAGTTAAGTGTGATTCTTAACAAAAGGCTCTTGCATTTGGCTCAATGACTTAAGATCTTTATATAGTAGCTAAATGCATTTTATTCAAACTTCTCTAGCCCTGGGCAGGAGCCATTTCAGTAGGCAAGTTAATTCTTCTGGAAAGGCATAAGCCGCTAAAATCAGAGGCTTAGGGGTGGATTTCTGCTCCTTGGTGATTTGTATTTAGAACTTCAGAGGAGTGGGCCCTGCTAATGAGCAACTAGGCATCTTATGGGGGAAGTTCCACTTTCCAGATCTAGGAGAGAGGCCTCTTGTCTTGAAAGATCTGGTGAATCTTTGATTCATCCTTATATTTTTACTATTCCATAGCTCCACTGTTCTTGGACTTCTGGGACTCCGTTTTTTTCGGTTTTTGGGGTTTTTTTTTGGTATTTATCTTAGCTCCTGCTTTTTTTCTCCAATGCTACGCATAGCTCTTTCCCTCCTACCCTTAGATATTTTGGCCCTGTAGAGAAGTATTTCCCAAAGATGTTCTCGTCAGATCTATGAGATGCTTCATAGTAAAAGGTTTCATGGTCAATTTAGATTGAGAAATGATGCATACTATACACCTCTCTTGGAAATGTGTAATGAACTTTTTAAAAGACACGGAAGGAAAGTTATTTACATTTGTTTATGTAAATATATGCATACTTATTTATTTAATATCAAAGTGTCTATTAGCCTCCGAAGAATTACTAGTTTTCAGAATTTGCTTTAGGCATTGCTACTATAATGTCCACAGGCTAAAAATTCTGTCTAGACCACTAGACATTCAAGTTACTGAGACATGGCCATGGATCATAAAACCCTCCGAAAAGGCTTACTTTTGAAGGTAAAGGGTGAGCACTGGCTAATCATGTAAATAGAATTGAAAGGAATCAAATGTTCACTAAAGCATAGACTAGCTAGAATAAACTGGATTGGCTGCTGTCCGTGTGCAGAGGTGCTGAAACAGGAATACATTGTGAAAAACGGATCACTGACAAAGCCCTTAAAAAGAAACTGTTCAGGGCTTCCCTGCCTGGTGGCGCAGTGGTTGAGAGTCCGCCTGCCGATGCAGGGAACACGGGTTCGTGCCCCGGTCCGGGAATGATCCCACACGCCGCGGAGCGGCTGGGCCCGTGTGCCGTGGCCGCTGAGCCTGCGCGTCCGGAGCCTGTCCTCCGCAATGGGAGAGGCCACGACAGTGAGAGGCCTGCATACCAAAAAAAAAACCATAATTCCCTATCACCTATTAAAATATTTAATAATTTCCTAATACCCTAATTAGTCACAGTATTCAAATTTCAAATTAATCTCATACATTTCTTGGAAATGTTTAATTGTTAAGCAAATCAGAATCCAATTAAGTTCCACAGTGGTATTGGTTGAGATATCTTTTAAATCTCTTCGAATCCATAGCTTCCTCCTCCACCTCTCATATTTCCTTTGCCAGTTTATGGTTGTTCTTGAAAAAAACAAGTTATTTTTCTTTAAGAATTTTTCATGGTATGGATTTTGCCGATTGCATCCTTGTAGTGTAGTTTAAAATATTCCTGGGGCTTCCCTGGTGGCGCAGTGGTTGAGAGTCCGCCTGCCGATGCAGGGGACATGGGTTTGTGCCCCAGTCCGGGAAGATCCTACATGCCGCGGAGCGGCTGGGCCTGTGAGCCATGGCCGCTGAGCCTGCGCGTTCGGAGCCTGTGCTCCGCAACTGAAGAGGCCACAACAGTGAGAGGCCCGCGTACCGCAAAAAAAAAAAAAAAAAAAAAAAAGGAACTGTTCAGAGAGTGAATTTTTGGTGCTACATGGAACACCTAGGTACAAAACCTGTGTAGTAAAGCTGCACAGAGACAGAATTGGGAAAAAGACACACATACTGGGTAGGAAAATAACAGAGATGGGATTTGATTTCACTGCTCCAACTAATTGGACATGTGAGCCTGGGCAAGCCATTTAATCTCCCATGCCTTATTTTCAAATAAGATGATTGGACAGGATGCGAGTTCATTCCCAGTTCTAAAAGTTATAATATATAATAACTCTTCAAGTTGGTCTTCATATGAGCATGGGAGAAATCAAACTGATGCATATTTGCCCCAGGTCTCTGGGCTTCTCTAGTCCCCTTTTATTCTTAGATGATATGCTTCTGAACCATATGTGTTGCACTAATTGGTAAGAACATTCAATCTTGAGTCAGTAACAAACCACAAGTTTGGGAAAGTAGAGAATGCCTGAATCAAATGTTACAGGCATCTTACAAATTTCAGTTACTGTTATTGAGAAGAAAAGTTCTCCTCCTTCTGACTTCTAAAAGGAGACAGTTTTTAATAATGTGTTTAATTATTAAATACCTATTAAGTACCAGCCTCTGTTCTAGGCACTTGGGTTACCCTGTGTGTTTGTGTGTGTGTGTGTGTGTGTGTGTGTGTGTGTGTGAATGTGTAGGGGAGACAATAAAGACAAAATTTCCTACCCTCAAGGAGTTTATATTTGAGTAGAAAGAGACATAATAAACAGTACACCCAATAAACAAGTATATAGCAAAAAAGTAAATTATATAGTATGTGAAAAGATGATTCTATGGACAAGGGTAAGGGGGCATGAAGGGTTGTAATTACAAATAGGGTAGTTAGGGTTAGCCTCATTGAGAAAGGAACCTTTGAGTTAAGACCTGAAGGAGGTAAAGGAGTGAAACACATGCCTATTTGGAGGAAGAAGGATGCAGGCAGAGGAAACATGGCAGAGGCAAGAGTGTGTCTGGCAGGTTCCAGGAATAGCAAGGCACGCTGTGAAGCTGGAGTGGTGTGAGTAGGCAGGTGTGTTATAAAGATGGGGTCTGGGCTGCTTCGTCTGGCTGGAAGAAAGACATTGAACCTACGAGAGCAGCTTCCATGCCTAATAGCAGCATGGTCTGACCTCAGTCTTCTTTTCCTTGTAGGAAGCCCTGTAGGAGTCCCAGAGTGATGAGACCCCGTGCCTGGCCTGAGACACCCAGTTAGCACCTGCAAATCAGGATTTCCTCTCCCAGCAATAAAGCATCCAGGCTTTGCATCTGTAACAGCCTCCCCTGTAATTTATGCATTCTGTGGTGAGTTTACATGCTGACTCTGTCATTATCTGAGTTTAATACCATTGCCATTTGCATATGTTTGATGGGGATGGGGTGGGCAGGATACCTCTGGACAGATTCCAAGTTGGAAGTCTGCATGTCTCTTCTCACCCTTACTTCTTCCCCAGTCCTACGCCTTTTGCAGGGCCTGGGCCAAGGCCAATGGTACATATTGCTAGGAAACAGGTGAGTGTTCTCGGTAACCATGTTGCCCTCTTTTGTGTCTGCCTCATTTCTTGTCCCTACTGTGCCTCACTCCCAACATTCCTGACTTCTCAGTACCCAGTACCGTACGGTGAACCTGCCTCCCTCCCCACCATCATCAACCATCAACAATGACTCTCAACGAGGAACTGATACATTTGCTCAAATTAACATAAGCCTGGGGGTTACCTCTTGGGGGGCGGGATTCTCCTTTTTGACAGAGAATAACAGAATTTCTCTTTCATTATGCCATTTCATCTATCATCAACTTAGAATGGACAGGGTTTGGGGGTGTTGGGGAGGCTTCTCAGCATCCCGGAACCCTGAAGATTATTACCAAATGGTAGGCAGTCACCTACTCCAACTTTGGTTTCTGCTGCCCACGTACCCCTAGCTCAGCTCTGCCTGTTTTCCCTAAATCACTTTTCTGCACAGAAGTTTGCTGACATTTTTTTGGGGGGGTGGGGGGCTAGGAAACCTTCTGTAGATAGTAAGATATACAGGCATACCTCATTTTACAATTGAAGGTTTGTGGGAACCCCGTATCAAGCAAGTCTGTCGGCACCATTTTTTCAATAGCATTTGCTCACTTCATGTCTCTGTGTCACATTTTGATAATTCTCATAATATTTCAAACTTTTCATTATTATTATATTTGTTATGGTGATCTGTGATCAATGATCTTTGATGTTACTCTTGCAAAAAAAATAGTACTTATTGAAGTCGCAGGTGATGATTAGCATTTTTTAGCAAAAAAGTATTTTTAATAAAGGTATGTACATTGTTTTTTAGACATAATGCTATTGTACACCTAATAGATTACAGTATAATATAAACATAACTTTTATATGCAGTAGGATACCAAACAATTTGACCTGTTTTTGGTGGTGGTCTAGAACCAAACCTATAATATCTCCCAGGTGTGTCTGTATAGTGAAATGTTTGTGTGAGCCTCTGAATTGCTCTTAGGAGCCAGGAAGCAGTTCAAGCCATAAGGACGGGGTGGAAGGAATTGTTGCCCAATGGCAAGCAATTAGGTTTATTTTACAAGATTGTGTTTTCCATGTTGCTTGCATTGTGAAATAGTGTGCACAGGTGCCCCCATTTGATTCAATTTCAATTCTCATCATGATTGATAGTCCCACCTGGTCACAGCCAGATCACTTTGCAGTTTGCCCTTGTCTGCTGGGCTGTGGTCTGAGTGGGGAGCCAGGGCCAGACATTTTAAGGACTCAGAATGAACAAACATGTCTGCCTCGCCCTTCTCCCCAGATTTTCACCACTTCAGATTTTTTTTATTCAACCGACAAAAGTCTAATCCACATTTCTTTGTAAAGAGGCACTGCCAGCCTACAGACAACATGAAAATGAATGGAGGAATTACAAATGTTAGAGGTGCAAAACCCTTGGAAGAGCATTAAAAAACAAACAAAAAACAAGGGCACATTAAGACCCATTTATGATCTTGTGTCCCTTTGTTCATGTAATTGCTGTCACCAATACCGTCATCATATCAGTGGTATCATCCTCAAGTTAACACAATAACCATCAATTATTGAATATGTATTATTTGTCGCTTTGGCAAGCATTTTACGAGAATAGATTAAGTTATCTCAACCACCTTAAAAAGTCACCTTAAAAATCCCCATATTACAGATTAAAAAAACTGAGGTTATGAGATGGTTAGTAACTTGTCCCAGGTCTAAGCCAACCAAATAGGCAAAAGTCTCTATAATCAAACAAAGATAAATAGTTAAAATGTGTATGTATAAATAAAGATAGGTTTTAAGGTAGTAATTTACCTTTGCGAGATTCTAAAGACCTTTTTTACCTAGGAATCTTTCCTGGTGACTTAAGATGGGACTCTGTCACATGTTGCCTGCTCAGGGTCACATCTCCTGCTCATATAAACCATTTATTTTTTCATAAGTTTATCGAAGTATAATTGATTTACAATGCTGTGTTAATTTCTGCTGTACAGCATATATTCTTTTTCAAATCCTTTTCCATTATGGTTTATCAGAGGATATTGAATATATTTCCCTGTGCTATACAGTAAGACCTTGCTGTTTATCCATCCTATATATAATAGTTTGCATCTGCATATAAGCCATTTCTATATCACCCTTGGCCTGACCTCTCGTCTCTCTTTGTTGGTTTCCTTTCTCTGTCTTCTGTTTCCCAACAGTGACATTTGGTTGGCTCCTGGGTAGGTGCCTACAAACAAAGGATGCAAAGACTTTTTTTTTTTTTTTTTTTTTTGCGGTACGCGGGTTTCTCACTGCTGTGGCCTCTTCCGTTGCGGAGCACAGGCTCTGGACGCGCAGGCTCGGCGGCCATGGCTCACGGGCCCAGCCGCTCTGCGGCATGTGGGATCTTCCCGGACCGGGGCACGAACCCACGTCCCCTGCATTGGCAGGCGGACCCTCAACCACTGTGCCACCAGGGAAGCCCCAAAGACTTCTTTATCAGTGAGTCAAATACCACCTCCTCTGCAAAGCCTCCCTATCACTAAGGCACAGAGCTCCTTCCTCTGTGCTTGCAAAGCACACTGCTCCTAGTTCAATTAATAATACATTTCATATTATTAATAGTATGTCCTATGCAATGCTCACACAGCCCTTCTTTACAAGTACCAGGCTTTGTTCTAAGACTTCAACATTTATTGACCCATCTAATCTTCCCAAGAACCCTGCATGGTGGGTATTATCCCCATGATACAGATGACGAACCAAGGCGCAGAGAGATCAGTAACTTGTCAGGGTCATCTGGCTAGTGACAGAGCTAGGATGATGGACAGTTTGGAGCTAGCACCTAGGCCTTAGTCACATCCCCTTTCAGTGGTGGGCTTTACTTGCTCACATGGCTGTTTCCTAATAAGGCTGTGACCTCAAAGGCCCAGTGCATCTTTTGTATCTCTTTGTCCTCAGCCCTGTGCTCATTGCCTCTCACCCAGCAGGCACTCAAGAATTACTTGTCAAGTGAATGAGCGAAAGAAGGGTGACCACTGGGACAGACTGAGAGGCAACCAGGTCAAACCACCCAGGTTTGTCTTTGCTTTAAGGCATCTAATTGCTACCAGGACAAAGAGAAAGTGAGAGAGGCAGGGGAGGTAGTGCAGAACAAGCCTTGTTTGACCTGGATCTTCTCTGACTCCATCCCTTTTCTCCTCTCTTCCATCTGTTTCTATGCACCTGCCCTGAATTTTCCCCACTTAGGTTGCATTTAGCTCACCCTCCTTTGTCCTCTCAGCTAGATCTCCATTGTGGCACCAGTCACACCTCATCAGACAGTCTACATGTGTCTGTCTCCCCTCCCTCACTGCAGCCCTGACAGTGAACAACTTGAGGGAATGACCTTGTCTGCATCATCTTGTGCCCAGTGTCTAGCAAGAGGGCCTGACCCACCAGAGTCCCCCAGGCCATGCTTCTTAAATGAAAGGATGCTTAGCCATTGCTAGACCTGGTCCAGGTGGGCAAAGAAAGTACAGGAAGGAAGTAATTGTCAAGCATTTGAAAAACAAAGCAGAACAAAACACAATACAAAATTAAGACTGTAATCTCTGGCCCAAGGAACTGAGAATCATTTAGAACTTGTTTCTCATCCTCTTCCCTCTCCCTTTCCCACTGGCTCTTGTCATTTGGTAAATGATGCAGACAGATTCTTTTTTCAGGATTGGTTAAGAGAGGCTGAAAAGGTTGTTGGACTGTGTGGGGGTTAGGGTTAGAGGAAACAAAAAACAATGAAGATGATTTAATTTATATCTGATCACAGCAACTAGCTGGCTGTGCCATCAATTATTACACCCTCAAAGTTATTAAAGAACACCTCTGTCATAGGTACCTTATTAGCTAGGGATTTATGGAGCACAGAACCACAGCAGGAAATACTGATATTTCACTCACAACATCGCCCGTGGATGTCTGGGTTGTCTGTCTCTCAGCCCTATGTCTTCTCTTATATCCTCATTTGTAGGCCCCATAGCCCCAGGCTCAACTCCCAGAATGTTTTGTTCCTAAAGTGTGCATGATGGTAAACAGGCTCACTCACTTGTGCTTCTATTCATTTTGCATCTGTTTCACACCTATGGCTATAATATTCCTACTTTCTAGGCAGAAGGTGTTCTGGGCTCTGTCAAATATTTGACTTGAACAATTTCTGTGTTGTAAATCACCTCCTGTTATGGGATTTCTAGTTTCAATCTACTTCTTTTTTTTTTTTTTTTTTTTTTTTTGCGGTATGAGGGCCTCTCACTGTTGTGGCCTCTCCGGTTGCGGAGCACAGGCTCCAGACGCGCAGGCTCAGTGGCCATGGCTCACGGGCCCAGCCACTCTGCGGCATGTGGGATCTTCCCGGACCAGGGCGCGAACCCGTGTCCCCTGCATTGGCAGGCAGACTCTCAACCATTGCGCCACCAGGGAAGCCCCTCAATCTACTTTTTAAGAGAAGAAAACTGGACATTGGTTTTCGTTTATCCAGGTCTCGTGCTGTGCCACGAGTCCCAGAACCCGAGCCCTAGTTTCCTTGGCCTCTGTTTTCCCTCAAAGCCCCAATGTACACGGGTCTTACCTGTCACCTTCCAGGTTTCTTACTCGCGTCTCTGGACAAGGTAAATAAGTTGCCTCAACATTAAAGACACACTTTATTTTAAACACAATTAGACACTTTACTCATCCCTAGAAGCAATTTATTCCTAATTATAACCAATTATTATGTGTGATATCGAAAAAAACACCAAATTGCAGTTTAAAATTGGAAATCTGTGTGGGGAAGAG